ACAGGGGCTGTTGTGGGGCCGTGACTGTGTATAATTGTTATGCGACACCGATCCTTTGGTTCCCACTGGGTATGAGTCCTCTCTTTTCCTGCCCCGGCTGCAGAGAACAATGCTGTTTGTTACTAGGTACAAACAGGACATGAATTTGCATAAAATTTGCACATGCTAACTTATATGTATGCATGCCAATTTAGAATTAATATTGCTATAATTGCTATAATAGAAATACAGTACAATGGCTTGGGCCCAGCCTAAGTGAAAGATCGTATCTCCCAGGCGCTGAATTAACCAGGTGAGCACTTTCTCTCAGCACATCTGGTAGTGGCACTAGAGAGAGCCTTTTCTGTGGCTGCTGCCATATTGTGGAATTCCCTCTCCTGCAGCCAGAAGGCTAAGATCTTCCTATTCAGACACACCATTGGAAACTAAGGTGCAGACCATGCTGATCACTGGGCTGCTGTCATGCAAACACTATTTTAATTGCTGGTTCTATATTTATTTTGATTAATTTAATTGTTTTTTAAAATACAACAACAACGTTTTTAAATGTTGTAAGCTGCTTTGAATTCCAACTTGGGATATAAATACATTTTTAAAAAATATTAGTACATCTCACCCTAGTGAGTAAGTTAATGGGTCTCTGCTGTATTTGTTGTCCAGATAAAGTGTTGATGGTGAACTCCAGGGCTCCTGCAAGTCTCTCCTCTTAGGCTTCTTTTGTCTTTAAACCAGGCTTAGACCAGATAAGCTTGTCAAATTGAGGACTCTTTAAATTACAACACTGCCCTCCAAAATAGAGTCTGAAAAGTAGAGCCCATGACCACCCTAGATAGAAATCAGAAAGGATCAGCTGAAGACCCTACAGACATCAATTAGCAGGCACCCATTAATTAGGCAAGCATCTCAAACGGAAGACCCTTGGGGCCACTTCCCAGACAGATTGGGGGTTGGTTTGCAACAAATGGCAATTTAAAGTGCCCAGCTCAGGTTGCATGCATGTGGGGTTAACCAGTTGTCTGAATGATCTACCATCACTCTCAGTATTGATTTTTCATGCCATTCACAGAGAACAGCTTTTCAGAAGAGTTTTCAGTGGCATGGTAAGTTGAGACACAATATTTATTTATAAGATTTATGGCCGTTATTTCTCAAAAGAGATCTGAAGTGGCTTACAATAAATAATGGACATAAGGGATTTCGGGTGTAAATTGATAGTCTGAAGCTCTTCATATCTTTATGCTGATGCTCCATGTAAACCCCTTTCCCTATAAATCAATCAATGTGTGTAGGCTTCCAACCTCCACCATCCAATTCAGGATTTGAAGCAAATGCACATAGGTTGTTGGCAGAGATGACCATTATGGTACCACCTGGTCCCACTATCCAAGTCAAGGATGAGGAACCTGTGACCCTCTATATGTTGTTGGACTGCAAGTCCCATTATCCCTGACCACTGACCATGCTAGTTCAGGCAAATAGGAGTTGTAGTCCAACAACATCTGGAGGGCCACAGCTTCACTGTCCTTCAATACACATTTCCACTACTTTACTACTACCAGGAATAGCCCACTGTGAGCAACTCTTCCATCTTACCCAGATTATGTAAAAGATTTACCCATCCCTTCCTTTAACAGAGCACCAATTTTGGGGAGAGGGGGGAGAAAGCTTCTCAAGTATCAACATGCATCAGTAATTCTATGTATTCTGTCCAAGCTTCTTCTGACTGTGAGAATTGCAGAACTCATTTGTGTACAAAAAGAGTTCCTACGCATCTACTTTCTGCAGTTCTGCTGACAGCTTTGCAAACTTTAGATCCAGATTTCATGTCTCTCCAGCTTCAACCAACTATGTCATCAGGAAGAACTCCATTGCTGGTACTGATGAATCCAGCATATTTGCAGCAGATGGATGGGATACATCTTTCATCAAATGCTACCCAAATGCCCAGTGCCTGGAGACAACAGACCACAAATTGTTGATTTTTTACAATGGCATTCTAGCAGTTGGTTGGGAGGCTGGGTAGAGCTAGTACAGTCGTTGTTCAAGCCCCCAAGTAGGAAGCAGTGCCAAACCAATCATCTTTAAAGTTCCATGTGAGCTATCAGGAGATGCTGGGGCCAGAGAACCACAAATCCTCAGGTTTGTGAACTGTGAACAGGAGCACCTTCCTGGTAGTCTCAAGCTGCCCCTACCCATGCAGCTTGGCCACTGAGTCCTTCTAGACAGGAAGGCTTTAAAGGCTTCACATTTGGTCTGTGACTTTGACTTCCTGGTTCTGCTGCGCTCTTCAGCTCTGACTCCCTGGCACAATTTTGGGCTCCTTGTTCTCCTCTAACAATTGACAATGGCTTGTCACAAAGGACACTAGCCTTTTGGCTAAGATAGTATTACAAAGGCTGTGTGCCACCCACAATCTCTGTTGAGTAAGTAGCAAGATTCCAGGGGAGTTCCAGGCACTTACCCCGGGTCATGTTTCCATTGGGAACCAAGATGCAGCAGAGACTCTCAGGTCTTTAAGAAATATAGTTTGTTTTACACATATTTACAACCTGGGTGTAGATGGGGAGAGTGCAGTTTGCAGCATTCACATCTCAAGAGGGGCTTGTTCCCCACACGCCTCCTTAACAAAGCCCAATGTCTCACTTACCCAGCTTTCAGAAGGCAGTTTGAATACTGGGGGGGGGGGGTGTGCTCTAGTTTGGGCCTTGCACAAGGTGCCATAGCACCAAGGTCCAACCCCATAGGTATTCTGGTCCCAAGCTTTTATTCAGAACCATGGTGCTGTCAAGGCAGAACTTTGTGGCAGAAGTCTAGGGCCCCATTCTGCACAATGATCAGGAAGCCCCCCATCCCTCTAATGCAGTCAGGCTGGGCTTATCACATATTGAAGTAAGTAAAGTAATACACAGTCCATCTAAGGATGGCACTTCCTGAAACACTATTTTGTCCATAGCCAAAATAGCAAATAAGAAGCCATGTAGCAGAGTGATCCAGGGGTTACATCACATACACTGAGCCTTTTTGCCCAAACACGAAGTCAAAGATTCAAATAACTGTCATGTGGATCAGCTCCTGTTTCCAGCCATGGCTGAATATAAATCATCAATTCTGCACAAGTGCAACATTTTGTACTGGGCACAGAATTCATCATCCAGAAAAATTGCTGCTTTCTTTCAAAAAGAAAAGAAAACGTCTAGCGCTTAAAGCTGCAAAGATTGGATTGAAGCTGTAGAATGAGCAATGTCTGATGAAAGTTCAGAAAGTAAAAGGAAGAACAGAACAAAGACAGATACATAATGATTTAACTGAGGAGGATTCATGCTCTATAAAGATCTTTTATTACATTTTTATCCCATCCTTCCTCCAAGGAGCTCTTGGAAGTATACACAGCCCCCCTTTTTTATCTTTACAACAACCCTGTGAGGTAGGTTAGGTTATGATGATCTGGCATATGGACACCTACTCTTAAGCTTCATGGTGATTTGAATCCTGGTCTCCCCAGTCTAAATTTAACTTCTTTACCACACCATATGGATCCTTCTGATGATTAGTAGCAATGACAGCAAACTCCAAACTGACCTGTATTCATCACAATCACTGCTGATTCTATTCCACTGCAGTTTGGTTTCCATCAAATATGTTATTCATCTCACTGTCCACTAATTAATATATATGTTACATAAGTTACACAATTATTTATCTAACTTTCATTAATTTCAATGTAGAAGAACTGCCAAAACAATGTAAAACTCCCTCCACACTAATTATGTATGGTTTGCAGACTTTCAGGAAATGACAATGTTGATGTGAACAAATGCCAATCATAGTCGTTTGACTGATTTCTGTTCCTGACCACAGATGATCATGCAAACTGCAGCAATTACTACGTCCACTTTTCCATTTTCAGCATAATTCTCTGGTGCCCCTAATTATGACACAGAACTGTAGGTTAATGGTGTAAAACATCAATACTACCCCTTTTAGTGCAGAGTAACGAAGGTATATTTCTTTCCAAAACAGGCCTAAAGTGGTTTATGCTGTTAGGATCCAGCCATCCCTTTTTACTGCTGGGCTGGGGAACTTCAGGCCTGGAGGTTCAAAGCAGCCCTCTAGGCTTATTTGTGCTCTATCTAGGTCTTTCCCCAGGTCACACACCCTTCCCTAGGTCATGCCACCTTGCTTGTCCTGACATATGCCTTTCTAAGATGTTTCCTCCTGGCTGGAGTGTATTCTTGAACTCTTGATAATGCCTCTTGCTTGCCTGGGGGAGAAAACCTGCACAGCTGGAAGGCAGCCTAGCAAGCAATGTACCATTTTACATCCTATATTCTGGCCACTTTTGCCCCCACCAACATAGACATGTCACCCCTGGAAGTTATCCCACAACCAGATCTGCCCTGCTGCCCACCATCCATGTCCTACTGTATCAAACAATCTCAGGGTCAGCTTAAGTGCCTTGAAACACTGTATGCTACAATCCTGCACATCTAATGCAGGTGTTTGAATGCTTCTTCATTAGATGAACCCTGGTGACAGAATTACTCATTGCCTTTTGCTTATGGAGTAGAAGTCACTGGGAGAGATTTTTCAGTGAAAAACAGCTCAAGAGAGATGTTTAAACAGTTCATCTTTCCTCAAACACACATAGTAGCCTTCTATATCAATAGCAACCTCGCCAACTGCTTTGTTTGTGGTGGTAGATGATGGTGGCGAGCCAAAGAAAGTATCATGGGACTATACATAGTATGTAACTTGTCCCCTAGTTTAGATTCTTGTTCCATGACCTGCTACTTTTCCACATGCTGAGAACTTTGACACACAGTTCATTGGATCATAGAGTTGGAAGGAACCATATAATTAATTTAGTCAGCTCCCCCCAGCCTTGCTTAACATAGGATCTTCAAGGCAGGATGCAAGTATAGCACCCCTGACAGAGTCTCTACTTCACTACCTCCAATCAAAGGAGCACTTGTCACCTCTCAAGGCAAGCACTTCCATGGGGAAGGGCTGTAACGCAGTGGTAGAGTATCCACTGTCAGTGCTTTGTATGCAGAAGGTCCCAGGTTCAATTCCTGGCATTTCCATGCAGGGCTGGGAACATTCCAAACCTGAAATCCTGGAAAGCGGCTGCCAGTTAGTGTGGACAGTATTGAACTAGATGGACCAGTGATCTGACCCAGTATAAAAAAAATAGTTCTTGCTGGTTGCACATTTTGCCCTGTGTTTAGTCAAAATCTGCATCCTTGCTTGCACTCCCCCATCTTTTGAATTCTAAAATACATGTTGAATCTGTTTTGTGATACTAAAAACTCATAGCCCTCCATTGCATTCTATTGCCAAATGACCTAGGACGGATAGTTTAAGAGGTATCCTTTACACAAATTTATTTCCAGAATTCACTGCCGTCCATTGAGGGCTATTTGCAGCCCTTTCTGTGGGCTTTCCTAGAAACATCTGGTTGGTAAGTGAAGGAAGGAAGGAAGATGCTATACCTTTGACCTAGCTGTGCTCTTAAGCCGTATTCCTGCTTCATTAGACTTTTCACACAATGCAAACCGATCGTTTGGCCTGCTATATCTGAATATTTAAATTGGCTCTCCAAAGCCAATACGCAAGAATAAAACTCCTTCCCTTTTGAAACTGTCTAATGTCCAAGCCTGAACACCTTCAATATATCTACTGACAGCCTCTTGTCTTTGGAGGGTTTTGTTTTTTTTAAGCCTTCCACTTCCTTCGTACCTGTATCACGTCCCCCGTTAATCCTTGTAAATTGCCTCCATTTCCCTCTCTGGCATATCTCTGCACAATGGCCATTATCTACCTATTGGTTGGATGCTCTTACAAGCCATTTTCAATCCTCCCCAGACTAAAGAATGGTCACAAGGCTGCACTTGACCCCAGCAGCTCTTTCCAATCTTTGCTCCTGTTTTCATGAGCCATGTTAAGAAGTCTCAGTTAGACATTTTACTGCAAATGCAAACAGATGTTTCACATCTTATGACTCAATGACCCGTGCCGCAAACTTGGAACTGTAAAACTTCAGGCACTGATGTTCCTATCAAATAAAATGTCAGTCTGCTTCGGCAAAAAGGTAGTGCCAAGAGAGATAAATAAATCTTTGCTTGGGTTAGTGTAGCTGCTGGCAACGCCAACTCCCAGGGGGCGATCAAAACCAAGGGCTGCTAACTAGCTGCTGAAGTGTGAAAAGGTTTGCATGCTGACCAATGATAAGCACATATAGGACTCTGGTTCACAAACTGGGGTAAAGACACTGAGGTCCGTTAAGAGAAGCCAAAAGGCAACAAAAACTCCACTTCTTATCTATGCTACCAGATGCCCTCTAAGACCACCTAAAGTTTCTAATATTAAACTGCCCCCATCATTTTAGAAAGGTTTGCTTAGCTTCCAAAGGAGCATCTCTGGGTTACAAGGGTGCTTTGTTTTTGCCCAACCAGCTTCCAAAGAGAGCAATTCTGTGTGGCAAAATGACTTGTTTTCTATTGCAAAGAAAATTTGCAAAGAACTGAGTTGAGCTGGAAAAAAATATAGCCTAACAACTTGAACAACTAATCTTAGTAAACAAGCATCTCAGAGCTTCTGGTGGCAGGTCACGGAGATCTTTGTAAGAGCTTAGCTTCTTTGCAAGGTAAGACCAAGTGTAACGAAAGGTCAACATTCCCGTATTGCATTGCTAAGTATATTAGGTACTGGGGTGGATGAACAGCCAGATTCTGTTTTCATCCCAAGATTACATGCACCCAAAAGCAAGTCCATCCCATAGACATTTCTAAGTGGGCTTTTAAAAATGGAAATCTTCTTAAAAAAGAAACACTGAAAAAGAGATTAAAAGTGGTGTGTGTGTGTGTGTGTGTGAGAGAGAGAGAGAGAGAGAGAGAGAGAGAGAGAGAGAGAGAGAGAGAGCTACTTACAATGCATGTGCTCTTCCTGCAAGTTGGGCCCTTCCCAGGACTATCCTGGGCAAACAGGGACACACGTTGCTGGCTTGACCTGCAAGCCTCTGGTTCTCCATTCCCGCTTTCAGGAAAGAGTCTTCAGAAAGGCTGTCTTCCTTTGTCCTCATTTCTGAAATCTCCTAAGCTTTCTCTGGCATCATTACCACCCAAATCAAATGAGGTGACTTCACAGTAAATCAGCTTAAAAGGTTTCAAAGTGATATGTGCCAAGTTACATTTTTGATGCTAACGAGGCCACTGAGGTAGGTTCTCCTACAACAAAACAGAAAGGCTAAAAAGCAAGGCTAATGGGAGATGTGTCTCCGGCAGACACAAATTGCAAATGTTACTTATTTTCCAGCATTCGCACAATAAATTACTCAAGAGCTTGTCAGATGGGCAGGAGAGAAAGAAAGGCTCTGCTTTGTTATGATGGGCTGCACGGGATCACCTCACATGCTGCAGATGAAGCGTGGCAGAAGAAGAACGTAGACTTTCTGCCATCAGAAGGACTGGTAATCTTGATACTTCATTGTATTCACTTTTCTCTGTCTCTGGGGCTCGTCCAATGATGAGGCAAAGAAGTGTGATTGTCTCAGGTGCAGTGCACATGAGACTGGGTATTTGGTGCCCTCACCAAATTCCCTTACCTTCTCACCTCATTATTGAGTGAGTTGGCTGGTCTGCAAGCAGCCACCTAGCCAGATGGGGCTAGGCTCTTCACTGCTGCCACTCAGAGGCAGAGCAAGTGGGTGTGGTCCACCCCGAGTGCCATCCCTGAGTGGGGAGCTGACAAAATCCTGGGTGGGCCTGATCTTGGCCAGGCCGCTGGGTCAGAGCACACACTCCAGCTGGGCCAGAGAGCACCCTCCGGCCTGGGCACTGCGGCAGAGCACGCACCCCGGCCGGGCCACTGGACTGGATCACATCCCTTGCCTGGCCTCCACAGTGGAGAAAACCCCCAAGCCGCATCGTCCTACCCCCTGGATCAGGAGTTGTGGGGGAGGGTGTGCCATTACCCCGTGCTCCCAGCTGGAGGAAGCAGACAGGGGAGAGGACAGGAAGGAGCAGGAGACCAAACAACGGAGGGGGTGGGAATGGGCGCCGCACGTCCTGTCCTGTTCCTGTGGGTGCCATGCCCCTGTCCCATCCCTCCCTATGGGCGCCACGCTCCCCGTCCCTCCCTATGGGCAGTTCGCACCGCCCCAGGTGCTGGAGAGGCTTCCTTGGAGACTGTTGCCACTTCCTAAGGAGGACTGAGCCTCACTTTAAGAAAGGACCCAAGGAGGCTTTGCCCACAGTGAGACATCGTGGGAGAGGCAGCCTATGTTGCAGCAGCTAAAAGAGCTGTTCAAATGTACAGTGGTACCTCGGGTTAAGAACTTAATTCGTTCCGGAGGTCCGTTCTTAACCTGAAACTGTTCTTAACCTGAGGTACCACTTTAGCTAATGGGGCCTCCCGCTGCTGCTGCCGATTTCTGTTCTCATCCTGAAGCAAAGTTCTTAACCCGAGGCACTATTTCTGGGTTAGCAGAGTCTGTAACCTGAAGCGTCTGTAACCTGAAGCATATGTAACCCGAGATACCACTGTAGAAGGGATTTGAAGCTACAAGTATTTTTCCATTTAAGTTGTCTTTTTAGTTGCCATGGCAAAACTAAGGCAGTGGCACAGGCACTTTCTGGGCCACCTTACCCAGCCTACCTCATTATAGCAATGTACCTAATTTTTCTTTTCTTGGAACAAGGCTCAGCCAGGGAGAAGAACGAGATGGGGCAGCAGCCTGCTAATAGTGGCGATTAAAAAAAAAAAACATAAAGAGGAATGCGTTGAAATCTTGAAAGTCAAGACCCACATTTGGGGCAAGTACTCTTTGGTGGGAGAACCCCAGCAGAGATTTAACATCAGAAAACAAGCAGCAAAGTAAAGTATTGGAAAAACAGGCTGTGAGGCCTTTAAAATGTGCCTTTTTAGTGATCCCCAAAATGCCCTCTTTTATTTCCAAACTATCCCACATTGCTAGCACAGAGATAGACCACATACTTGTACGTCATAAAATGGTTTACTTACAAAACTTTTCAAAGGTCAGATTCATGTGTGGTTCCATATAGCAGTCAGAAAAGATGCCCAGGCAGTCAAAATGTTGCTTAGTTACAAATGGTATGAGTTCTGAAACCACTGGTATTTGGTAAAATGCTAGTTTCAGGCTCCGTTACTGCTGGCTGGTCTGTTTTGCAGATTTTTCTTGATTTTCTTGTTTTATGTTTTTGTAAACCACATTGAGAGGGTTTTGGTTTTGTTTTGTTTTACAGTCAAACTGTATATAAATTTAATGAAATAAATGAATGTATGAAATAATAAAAATATAAATATGTTATTAAAGTGCAACTCTTGTTTCTTACTACTCTGTTAGGTGGCCCTGGGAACATAAATTTGTGTTGAAAGTATGTGGTGCGAATTAACTGAGTAATGCATAAATTGACACTCAGTTTGTTTCTTTTTCTTCATTTACTCACATTCATTCCTTCTTACCATTACACTAATTCAAATATATATAGTAGAATGCATGCTCCATTTATTCAGGTTGCAGAATCTGACTTTTCTGAGTGCAAGATTTGGATAACGCTTGGTAGAGAATGGGAAAGTGGTTAGCTGCTAGTGATCTGCAGCTAGTGTCTTGCAACAGATTATGCATTTACAAACAAGAGCAACCTTTTATTCATTCATCTATCCATCTAGGCAGCTGTTTTCCCAACTGGGAACAGAAAACTTGCCCAGCTGTTGAGCTGGACTCCTCCAGCTGTGCTGCAAAACAACCAGCCAGCAATAGCCACACCATATTTCTGAGCTCTCTCATGTGTAGTGGAAGGATCTGGGATCTGCAATATTTAGGCACATGAAGGATTCTTGAAAAGAGAGTATGTATTTGGAGATCAGGCTGGCTGATCCAGCTATCCCGAACAGTGAGTAGTGGCTGTAGTTCAGTGGTAGAGCATCTGCTTTACATGCAGAGGGTCCCAGGTTCAATCCCAGCATCTCCAGGAAGGCCTGGAAGAAATGACTGTGCCTCAAATCCTGAAGGGTTGCTGCTAGTCAGTGTAGACAATACTGAGCTAGATGGAGCAAAATGCTGTCTGACTTGGTATAAGGTAGGTTCCTATGTTCTCATCTATTGCTAGGGCATTAAGATTTCTTAGTAGTTTTTAGCAACTCACAGTACAAATATCCCAAGTGGTAAAAATATGGGGCCTGTGGTTAAAACATATATATATATATATATATATATATATATATATATATATATATACACTTCATTTGTATTAAAGATCATATAAAGGTAAAGGTAAAGGGACCCCTGACCATTAGGTCCAGTCGTGGCCAACTCTGGGGTTGTGGCGCTCATCTCGCTTTATCGGCTGAGGGAGCTTCCAGGTCATGTGGCCAGCATGACTAAGCCGCTTCTGGCGAACCAGAGCAGCACACGGAAATGCCATTTACCTTCCCGCTGGAGAGGTACCTATTTATCTACTTGCACTTTGACATGCTTTTGAATTGCTAGGTTGGTAGGAGCAGGGACCGAGCAATGGGAGCTCACCCCGTCACGGGGTTTCGAACCGCCAACCTTCTGATCGGCAAGTCCAAGGCTCTGTGTTTTAACCCACAGTGCCACCCATGTCCCTATTAAAGATCATACATTTTGATTTTGATTTACATGTTTCAATTGTAGTTGCACTGCATTTTGGGTTTTGTAGTTTTAACCACAGGCCCCATATTTTTACCACTTGGGGATGACTTATTAAAATATTTGTACTGTGAGTTGCTAAAAACTACTAAGAAATTTAATGTGTGTGTGTGTGTGTGTGTGTGTACACACACATTCATTACCTTACTTCAGGTTTGGTACAAATTTAAATTACTGGGGTGGTATCTAATGTTAGTCATAACCCATATGGCTGTAGCTGATGCAAATCTTACTCAAAGTAGACCCACTGAAATTTATGGCCAGGACTCGCTTAGGTCCTCTGAGTATGACTTTGTTGGGTATCATCAGGCAATGCAGGAGTAGGGGATTTAAAAGGATAATTGAATTCAAACTTTCCACATAGGCCTCCCCCTGCCCCATTTAAAGCTCATTACAAAACTGACTCTGTTCCATTTCTAATGCCAACATTTCCTCTAACACCTTAGGCTTATTAGAAAGCTGTTTTGATACCAACAGTAAATGTAATTTGTATACAAAAATGGAAGTAAACCTAAACATAAGAATTCAGTGTGTTGTTTTTAAGAAGGAGAAAAAAGAGGGAGAAAGGAGTAAAGGAAAAGGTCTGCTACAGAAGAACTGAACAAAGTGATGTTATCGTTCTGAACAGATTCTTGTGGGTGTGAACATGCCAAGACTTATGCAAATTAAAAAAAATTGTTCTTGTCTTGTCATACTAACTGAGATTCTTGCAAAGCTTTTGACTGTCAGTTTTAAACACAATGGAACTCAATGCTCTTCTGTCAACAGATTGGGCCTGATGGTCCTCTCCCAGGATAATAAGACCATGTGACATGAGCACATAAATAAACAACATGTTCCCAGAATGTCAATTCTCCAGAAGTAGCCTGCCTCACTTATGACTGCCATCATATTTCCCCCCAACACACACAAGTACATTAACCAGATAAGGCAGGGGTGGGGAACCTTTTTGAGCCTGAGGGCCACATTGCCTTCTGGGCAACCTTCTGAGAGCCACGTGCCAGTGGTGGATGGATCCAAAGACAAAGTGGTTGCAGCAATGAATGAACCTTTCGCACAGCAGGCTAATTTCTATATCCATTCACACAACCCTTTCCATCCTTCATCCAGGCAACTAAAAGCCATTATCAGATTTCAAAGACATATTCTCAAGGACCACACTGAGAGGTTTTGAGGACTGCATTTGGCTCACAGGCCTGAGACTACCAGTCACTGAGGTAAGAGAAGCAGAACCAAATGCAAAACCCATTTGCTCAAGTGTGGAACCTAGAAGAATTGGGTCAGAAGCCAGCCTGGATAGAACAGAACCAGCAATCATGTCTTTCTATATTTTGCACATTCCAATATGTAATAAATTGTTGCCACTTCTGCAGAGCAATCATTTATCCATTACTGTCAACTTGTCCATTGGGGCAATTCCAAGTATCTTTAACAAACTGCTCCATCACTGTAAATTTCTGTCATCAAGTCACTAACTACAATGTTTGCTGCACTCAGGAGATTCACAAACAGCACTGGAACACAGAAAATAAGAAGTTGCCTTATAACGAGTCAGACCATTGGTCAATCGAGCTCAGTATTGGCCACACTGACTTGCAGTGGCTCTCTAGGGTCTTAAGCAGGTGTCCTTCCCAACCCTACTTACTTCTGCAGGCCAAGCAGCTGCTTTACCACTGACACATGTCTCTTTTCAGTTACCTTCTGATTTGAAACAAAGTGTTAACACTCCCAATCTCCAATAGAGCTGGAAGACTTAACGAGGTAGGCTGAAGTCCTGACAACATGAGCATATTTCAAGGATTAGATGTTATCATACTGTATACTCCTTGTATACTAGGATATATCTGCAAAGACCTCATGCTCCACTAAGTAGATAGAACTGAACTGCCCTTATTTGTCGTTGCTTTCATTTTATCTACACCCCTGTTGCCTTCTCAGTGTCAGATTTTAGTTTGTGTGCTCCTCCAGGCAGATGTCTTTTTGTTGCTACTCTGAAAGAAAAACACCATCACTCTTGCTTTGCATTGCAGTAGTCACATCTCTCTGTCTCAAACCACTGTACTATGCCAAAGAAATCACAGCCTTTGTAGAGAAACCTCTCATGCCTTTCCATAATTTTTTGCACAGTCTCTCCTGGGGTATTTCAGACCACTTGGCATAGCTGCTGAATTCTTAAGATAGAGAGGAGGATGAAGCAGCAGCATATCCAAAGGATTACGTCACAATCCTAGTGATCAATGATTGAAAAGATAAAAGGATTCATGTTATAGTTCCTAAAGGCATAGTTCTTAGCAGCCTCTAAGATACTTTAAGAAAGTAGGTCTGTATTAAGTTATCCTCATTTTCAAGAGTGGGAAGATAGCCTTTGGATAGTATTATAGCCAATTCCGTGGCCATCTGGATTTTGTCTCGAATCATCTATAATGATTTGGAGGCATTTTAAAATTGCTTAAGTGACTAGAGCAGATTTAAATTTTGATTCAGTGTCAGCTTTGGAGAACTCCAGGAGCTTATGTAGCGTGGCTGAAAAGACTGTCATGCAAGAGCAGCTGAAGAAACCACCAGCCCAATCAGAACCAACAGCTCAGAAGTGGAGCAGACTTGATGTAACTAGCTATTGACAGTTCTCTCACGGAGCTTGTTTCATTCATTTTGCTTGCAACCATTAACGTCTCCGATGCTTTTTTTATAGCCCAAGTTCTTTGAACGTTAAATTTTTCCCAGATAGCAACACCGAAGACAGCTCCATTTATGCTCGTGGTGGGAACTTATTAAATGAACTGCTGTAGCTCACCTGCAGATTTATGAGTGCCTGAGACACTTTAGCTTATCCATCTGCACCAATTAAGACCAGGAACTTGGTATGCACACCTGGGATTGGGGTCTTTCAAAGGACTACTGATTGGAGACAGAGCTGAAGCCATTCTTTGTTTGGCAATGTTTAACAGTTTAGTTCACTTTCCTCTATGATCATGTTGTCTCCTAAACTTCTTATGCTAAAAACTAGAAGTGATAAGCTGAAGCCTGACCTGTATTTCAGCTTTGTTACATTAGATTAGGGGTGGAAACCTTTGTTTAGCCTTAGAGCCACATTTGCTCCTGGCCAACTTTCCAAGGTCCAAATACTCTGGTGGGTGGGACTAGAGGAAGAAGTTCGTGGAGGCAACAAATGTAAATTTTGCCTTCAGAAAGTAAGCTGGTTTCTTCACATACCCCTCTTTGCACCTTCATCCAGACAAGAAAGAAGCATTGTCAGAGTTCAAGAACACAGTCCAGCAAAGCAAAATTATTTGGGATGTGAAACAGTGCTGGTATGGGGTGTGGTCTGGGGAGAGTTATGCGAACCAGACAGAGAAGCCTGAAAGCTGCATCTGACCCAAGGCCTTAGAATTCCTAGCAATGCATTAGACAGTTAGGGCTAAGGTGACATATCTCAACGGTGGAGCGCATACCAAGGAGGCAGGTGGTGACAAACACCTCTGTCTGAAACCCTGGAGGGGCACTGCCAGTCAGAGTACACAAAACTGAATTAGATTGGCCAATGATCTGGCCTGGTATATAAGGCAGCTTCCACATCACTAGCCTGTGCCATTTGAAATTGCTAGTGTAGGGGGTTGGGTGGGTGTAAATGCTTGAATGCTACAATAGTGCTGTAAATGGACAGTGTAGATGGATGGGATCTAAGTGAAGTAGCACACATTGTCATCCAACAAACCCCCTCCCTATAAGGCCATTAAATCCAGTGTCTAAAATGACCTAACTGCCTGCCACCACCCCCTGCTCAAAAGCTGTACATGAACCTAGCAAATAGATAAAATACCATTATTTAAAATAAAAAGAATAAAAAATAAACAAAAGCTCAAGGCAGATAACAGAATATTAACAGAATTTGACACGTAATCTTCTTCTCTTGCATTTTGCAGCACCTGTTTTGCAGGTGCTGATATATCAACCCCCTTCCTCAAGCACCAGAGGCATTTTTTTTCTCTACATTTGATTATGTGGATGATCAAACACATCAATAACCCTTGTAACAGCCACAGCTCTGCAATTATTAAACCAGAGTTACAATCCTGGGGGCTTTGTCAGAAATAACTGCACTTTACTTTATAAGCTAAGAGACAATTATTGAGTGAGGAGACAAGTCTGAAAACCAGCTGGCCATGTGTTTGTTTCAGTGAAACCATCAGAACAGGACTTTTGGGCAAAAGTCCAGAGCTCCATTCAACAGAGTAGTCAGGAGGGCCCTCTAATGCAACAAAGAGTAGCTTATCCACAATTTTGAAGCAAGTGAATACA